GATACTGTATCACCTGTCAGCGAACTATAGAATGACTCGCGCGGTGGTAAACATTGATTCTGCAGCTTGTCATTGCAATCCACATATTCGTATCGAAAGACACTTTTTCGCGTTATTAAATCAAAATTTTTGTCGGATAAGTGTTTAAATTCGGATTGAACAATTTTTAATTTGTCTCTAGTGAGAAACGATGCTAATTTATCGAGACTGGTGCTGAGAAATTTGTACGAATCGATGAACCGCAATTTAATATGATTTCGCCAGTCTGATGTTTTACTTGTTGTATCTTTAATATGTTTGGTAAATGAAATATATTTTTCTTTCGTTATTGGTAGTACATCGATGGGACCATCGAACGCGGTGGCTACTTCTTTAATAATAAAATGAGCGTCATAACCTGATAAATTATGAAAAATCGGAATATAATAGGAATCTGTATAATTTAAATTACAATTTGAATGTGCCGGACCCCTGTATTGTCCGGTTAAATGGCAATGATCGCGTACGCATATATCCCCCACCGCGAATGATTTTTCGCATATATGACAGTGCGTTGCGCTATAAATGCTGCACACTGTTCTTGTGATAAAATTTCGATAGGGGTATTATTATACAAAATAACTTTTATACGATGCGCCAATTGTTTAAGTTCCTCGACGAACCACGAAATGTAATTCGGATCGCGACGACACTGATATGCGGATAATGATTCATCGTAGGAACATCGTACATAATAAGCTATATTATGTACTTTATGATGCTGATACACATACGATTTTTTTTTTTCGTTTGGCGTTTTCTCTAGAATGTATTCCAGGTCAGCGTACACCACGAATAGAATCCGTTCCCTTCTGCTGTAATTGGTAAAACTGAGCCACTTGTTGTCCTTTGTTGGCAAGATGACTGCACAGTCATTCAACTTGTTGCAATCTATGATATGATTCTCCCGTTTTTCGTTGGAATAAAAATAATACAAGCAACTGAAATGAAAAAGAAATGGATATTACGAGTTATTCTTTTATATCATATTTGCTATATTGTATTCATGGAGAATATCTCCTTACCGATCGCATATATTGTTACGTCCTGCGAATTCCGCGTACTCTGAATTCGTTGTCAAATAGGGCGGATTGGATTTTATATTATACGATCAAATATTCATGTTCCGCGACCCTCCAAGAACAGTGACGTCACACACACATATTTCTCTTTTTTTTCTCTCTGCTTTAATCACCAAAGTTTCCCTATTTCCGTCAGAAAGATCCGCTGAGTTATTTTAGCCATATATCTCCTCTCCAAATAACCTTGAATAACTTCCTGTTCGGAGCAATAATTTTCTTTGAAGACGGACCGACCAGACAATCTTTCATGCTGTTATATGATATTACTAGCCTCTGATCTTCGGAAACTCATGCTTTCCCATGTTATTCATAAATTTTTATTGCGCACAATTTCTGACTAACCCTAGCGAAACCTTGAAGCCTTTTACTGTCATAGATACCCGATCCTTTACCATATTTATCTCAGGTCTCCCTAAAACCCCACTTTCGAAAAGTTTTGCAACAAAATCCTATACTCATATTTGGACATAAACTTTGGAACCCTAACGCAACTTCCAAAACCCCACCCTCTCGACCGAGGTGACGTTTTGAGTAAAATGAAAAAGCTATGCTACTTCTACTTCTCCTCTCGACCGACCCGCAGCCAGGACAGAGTCTTCTCTTCAACACTCCTTCAGGGTCACTTAATAACCAAGCCTACTAGTGGCTTGGTTATTAGCTTATTTATAGTTTATTTATAGCTAGGTTATTAGCTAGTGGCTTAAACAAATCAGAGTTTCGCCAATTGTTAATTATTCCGTGAAACGACTTCGTGCATTTTTGGACCATCGTGAGCAGTCCAGCGGAGACTAGCTTCCTATTCTTGGCGCAAACTTGGGTCATCCAGCCTCATCGACACGCAGTAATTAGACTCTTCATTTTCGACAAATAGCATAGATCCAGCAGTAAGTTATTTATACTTTTTTTTTGCCTGAGTGACTTCTGTCTTTTCATTTTCTTCTTTTCTTCTCTCTCTTTTCTTTTCCTTTCCTTTGCTTCCCTTTTTCTAGTCCCTTGGCATTTCACCTTAAAATTGTTAAATCAGGTGCCAGTGGCCCAATCTTTTCGATCACAGTCGGACATAACGAACAGGGAATTTTGCTCAGACCGCAATTGTTTATACATATATGTATACGTACACATTTATAAATCTTACAAATTCTCTTTCATTGTGAACTTCCGCTTAATCATCAATAAAACAAGTTATTTGTAATTGTAAGCCAATCACGTTTTCCAACTAATTATTCTTAACAAAACAATCTCCCTTCCCTCAACTGTCGCTCACGGTCCTATCCCAGGTAAAAGGATTCAGTTCCTTGGGACTACCGACGTACGTCCGCGCCAGATAAAGGGATTATTCCGATCCTTGATCTGCACTGCAGACTTGCAAGTACGTCGGAGCTTCTGAAAGCAAGCGTCAAGTTGCGTTCCTCCTCCAGGACGTAACAATATATTTCTTGCATTTTGCCTTATTTAGTTGCATATCCACAAGACGTGACAAATTCTTGATCCATACGAAATGTCTCACGTTGTATTTTAGTGAATCTTACACATATAACAAATTTACTAGGTGCGCAACTAAGTTTCCGGGTTTCACACATGGATGGTGCTAACGACACATGTAGTCGACATACACAGTCTGTCCCAGATACGATGAGACTGGTTCCATCAAAGTTCTTAGCGCAGCGACATCTATGAGTGAATGATGGTAGGTGAATGTTCTATCCTTCATCTACTTAACCTCAAAATTTGAGCGAATTCGGTTGATATTTCACTGTGGTTTGACATTTTATGTAAAGTCACTTTGTGTACGACGGTCGAAAAACCAACTTTTAAATTGGTTAAAAGTGGTGCAGAAACGTACGAAACGCTAAAAAATGTGTACGGGGATGAATGCATGTCCCGTGCACAGGTTTTCCGCTGGTTTGGCCGATTCCGTGACGGTCGTGAGGACCTTGCAGACGATGACCGAGCACCGCCGCCAAAAACCACTCACAATGAAGAAAACATCGAGAAAGTCAAAGAAATTCTTCGAAGCGACCGCTGTGTGTCTGCGAGACTCATCGAAAAGGAAACTGGGATACCGAAAAGCACAGTCTATCGAATTTTGACTGAAGATTTGGGCAAACGGAAGGTCTGTGCGCGCTTCGTGCCACACACTCTGACAGACGACCAAAAAGATTGGAGAGTTTAGCATTGCAAAGACATCATTGTTATCGATCATCCACCGTATTTATCTGATTTGGCTCCATGCGACTTCTGGCTATTTCCCAAACTGAAATTGACGATGAAAGGAAATCGTTTCGATACCATCCCGGTCATCCAAAAGACTTCGACCGCCATATTAAAGGCCATTCCAGCCGATGAGTATAAAAAATGTTTCGAAAATTTGTTGAACGTTTCCAGCGCTGTATTGACTCAGAAGGAGACTATTTTGAATAAACAAGAATAAAAAATCAAAATAATAAACGCTTTGTATTTTTCTTAGACCAGTCTCATTGGATCTGGGACAGACTGTGTACATGTTTGTAGTTGTGTTTTTTTATAGCTTGGACATCTGTTAACAATAACCAGTCGTAATACCAACACATATCGCAACGCAAAAATATTCTTTCTAACAACGAAGATGTCGAGTTTTGTGCCAGATAAACAGCATTTGCGGGAAGCTTTACTTTTCTGCTTTAACTTGAAAAAATGTGCAGCTGAAGCACGTCGTTTGCTTGAGAAGACCTACACCATCGAACATGCACCATCGAAAACTATTTGTGAAGATTGATTTAAACGCTTCAGAAGTGGCGATTTCGACACTGAGGACAAGGAGCGCTCCGGAAGACCAAAAACAATTGAGGACGCCGATCTGCAAGCGTTATTGGATGAAGATGATACGCAAGATCAACTTGCGGAGACATTAAACATGACTCGCCAAGGTATTTCCAAACGTTTACATGCCATGGGAAAAATTCAAAAGGAAGGAAAGTGGATGTCGCATGAGTTGACTAAGAGACAGATGGAAAATCGAAGAGCCACTTCCGAAATTTTGCTTTTGCGGCATGAAAGAAAGAGTTTCCTGCATCGAATTGTTACTGGCGATGAGAAGTGAATATATTTCGAAAATTCTAAACGCAAAAATTCGTGGCTTTCACCTGGCGAAACATCAACATCGACGGCACGGCCAAATCGCTTCGGAAAGAAGACAATGCTCTGCGTTTGGTGGGACCATAAAGGAATCGTGTACTATGAGCTGCTGAAAAGAAGCCGGGCGAAACTGTCAATGGGCATCGCTACCGACAACAACTGATCAATTTGAACCATGCATTGCTCGAAAAACGGCCAGAATGGGACACGAGACACGAACGTGTGATATTGCTGCACGACAACGCTCCGTGCCATCGCCTTTTTCATCGTCTAGGACGCCATCAAAACGCTGAAATGGGATCTGCTATCGCACCCACCACATTCACTAGATCTGGCCCCTTCCGATTATTACTTGTTCCGGTCGATGGCGCATGGCTTGCCTGGGCAACCAATTTCGAAGAAGTGCAGAATTGGTTGGATGAATGGTTTCGGTCCAAAGACGCGTTGTTTTATCGTTGCAGTATTCATGTATTGCCAGAGAGATGGCAAAAATGTGTAGCTAGCGAGAGACGATACTTTGGATAAACCATTTTTTGTATTTCTCTTGAAATTTTCCATTTTTCATTGATCAAAAAATCCCGGAAACTTAGTTGCGCACCTAGTACATGCTTTTCTTTCTTACTGGCGAGACGCGTCGGAACGATCGTACATGCTTCTTCCTGCTTCTTTTTATCTTGAATGGTATATATTGATGGATATGTTGTTTATCTGTTCAAATTTGATAATTTGTTTAATCGTCATTGGAAATTCAATATCCTGAAGATTGAATATTTTGGTGTATTGTGGGTACGAAGATTTCCGGTCTCCATTTCTTTCAGCTGGATATAATGCCGCGACCACAGACCATACAAAACATGCGTTGTTTTTAATTTGTACGTTTATCACGGCTTTCTTTAATTTTATTTCGCGAGGCAGCTTAATGTTGCATCCTGCATGTAGTGGATCGTATTTGTTTACATTGACTGTGAAATCAAGTATGCGTAACAGTACCCAGCCACTATCACGTTCTTGAAATTCTTCCAAAGATGCCAAAGTAGGTTCGATGACGTGTTGCTCGTACCATTTTTCCAAATCTAAAGCAGAAAATAGTTCACTGTTTCTCGTGTTAATGCTTTTGAATGCATGATTGTCGCCTGCGATAAACTCGCCATTGAACACAGTGTTCACCTTAAAATTGCCGTGGCTCTCCATAGCACTTCGCACGTGCTCGAGCACTGTACTCTTCGCATCTTGGAGAAATCGAAGAGGTTCGATATGGTTCACGTTAATAACTGCGCCGGTTGATATGCGGCTTTCGAACGCTGTATCAATTTCTCTCCATACCAATTCTGCATCTCTTGATGCGTGTCCAGTACCCACGTGTATGAAGCGTTCTTGTACAGAAATTTTCAGTCCCTCGAGTCGTGCAATACGAGTCACCACTGATTGCGCGGCGCCAATCAACAATCGCGGTCATCTTGCTCGACTTTGTTCTTCCAAACATCTGATACACTTGTCAAACTTTTGCACTCATGCGTCGTTAGTATCTCGCGAATTCAGACGAGTGGATTGCTTCAACAGTTCTCGTTCGGTTTGAGTGAAGTCTTCCATTTCTTTATTAACTACAGAGAATATTCTGCTCTTTGGAATTCTTTACTTTATATTCTCTCCATTAGAAAACACATTCGGACATGCGCGAGTCAAATGACAACCGTGAAAGAAGGAGGGTGTATTAGACAATGGGACACCGTGCGGTTGGAGCCTGCTTCTTATTTCATTCCGAAGAGAGAAAAAATATCGTAAGCGCTAAACCGGGAATTGAACTCGGGTCTCTCCGCTTGCAGGGCGACTGCTCTAAACCCATTGAGCTACCTGACGCTCCATGGTCAAGACACTTTCCTCTCCCCTGATATCGTTAAAAGATGTTGTTCGGAAGCGACATCTCTAATGCTATCCCGAGTCTAAACCAAAGATAGCTGTATCTTATTTACTTTCCTGTTTTGAAGAATGTATCTACGCATGCGCTGCAGCTCCGAAGAGTAAGAGAAGGGATGCCTTATAGTAACTATAATATTAGGCTTCGGAAAAAAACTTCTGTCTCTCAGTCGCTCTGTGAACACGAGATTCATCGGTTGTGTGTTTATATAGTAAAGTTTGGGTGTGTCTACATAGTAAAAATATATGCTGCCGGTGCTGAAGTTAACGCTAAACACGCAAATTATTACATGCCTGCTCAACATGAGGACGAGGCTCCACCGAGCAAGAAAATGTGCGAGAGGTGAGTGTCATAATGCTGTTTCTTTTAGTTTATCCGTAGTAATTTTTCCAAGATTCAGACATGTAAATTTTCTATATCTTTTCAGCGTTCCACGACCTCCTGCTATGCATAACTTAGGACGCCGATATGCTTTGACTGCAACTGCTTATAAATATTTGAATATCGGAATCAGCGTAGGAGCTGAACCCGTCATAGACATAGTCATTGATGATAATCGTGGCAAACAACTGCTATTGCCGATCAAAACTTGGAATGCGCTAATGGGGTAACGTGCTGACATCCAAAGATTTCTGCAGGCCAATTTTTATAAGTCATCTCCCCCGATGCGTATAGAAGAATTAACAATAACGTCATGTAAGATGTACGTCATGTAAATTGTGAAACTCACAATTTTTAATAATTGCTTATATATAACGCCAGATACGTTAAATGTATTATTTACATTTGAAAATTGCATCAATCACATGTATGGATGGTTATCAGAAAATATCTATATAGTTAGTGTAAAATTCAAAAGTGTAAATATTCTTCGTGAAAAGAAGAATTATATTACTAATATACATACTGCAACAAAAACAATACAAGAAAGCAGCGATTTTGACCGCGAGTCGCTCATTGATTGTGAATTGTTAGCATGCGCTGTAAAAAATATAATGTATGAAGCCGTGAACAAATAAATGATATTCTGCAAAACATTAAATTATGTATAAATTAATTATATATATCTTCCATTTTCTTCCCTTCCCCCTCCTCAGAACGATGAGGATAGTGCCCGGCGCGAGTCGACATGGTAAAATACTCTTTCGACGAACGTTTCGTATTCTCTTCCAACCTAACCTATGGTGGTCTAAGTGGTAGGACCATCGCACTGTAAACGAAGGGTCCGGGGTTTGAGGCTGGCCTAGTTTCGACTTTGTTTTGGCGCATGCGTGACGCCATCATACACACTGTAAGAACTTCACTAGGCGCCTACTAGCAATAGGCAACAATGGTCTAGGAGTTTCGAGCGCTCGATAACAACCGCGGGGCCCAGGTTCGAGTCTGGCCTACACCGCCACCATGTTTTTTCTTTTGACGTAAGCGTGACGTCACAGCCGCCATCTTACCCGTAACGTGACGTCTACTAGCAATAGGCGACGGTGGTCTCAAGGTACCTTTACATGGAAGCATCGAGCGTCGAGCGTCAAAGCGTCCAACCAATCAAAGTTCCTTGTTTTTATCCCTGAAATAAGAAATGAAAAACTGATTGGTTGGACGCTTTGACGCTCGACGCTCGACGCTCCCATGTAAAGGCACCTTAAGAGGTTCGAGCGTTCGATAACAACCGCGGGGCCCAGGTTCGAGTCTGGCCTACACCGCCGCCATGTTTTTTTCTTTTGACGTATGCGTGACGTCATCACACATACTGTAAGAACTTCACTAGGCGCCTACTAGCAATAGGCAACAATGGTCTAGGAGTTTCGAGCGCTCGATAACAACCGCGGGGCCCAGGTTCGAGTCTGGCCTACACCGCCGCCATGTTTTTTCTTTTAACGTATGCGTGACGTCATCACACATACTGTAAGAACCTTCACTAGACGTCTACTAGCAATAGGCAACAATGGTCTAGGAAGTTCGAGCGCTCGATAGCAACCGCGGGGCCCAGGTTCGAGTCTAGCAACACCCGGCACGTTTTTCTTCGGACATGTACGTGACGTTACGACCGCCATCTCTTACCCGTAAACGTGACGTCTACTAGCAATAGGAGGTGGTCTACGAGGTTCGAGCGTTCGGATAGCAACTGCGGGGCTCAGGTTCGAATCTAGCAACACCCGGCACGCTTTTTCTCTCGTGACATCACGGCCGCCATCTTGCTCATAGAATCAAAAATTCTTGGGAGGAGAAGGGTATCAATAAAGAGGGGGAATCAATAAAGAGGGGGTATCAATAAAGAGGGGACGGGGTATTAATTAAAAAATATTAATTAATAAATAACGTCTTTTGCATAATTAATTTAAAAAGTGAGTTAGAATTCCTATAGTTTAACTACTGCAGTTTCGAGAACTCTACATTCCCTGTTATGCATAAATCGCAAGCCAATATTCCAAAGATAACTTGTCAATGATTGGTTTTGATTATTCTTGCTATCGATAGATTCAGATAATTCACATTTTTCAACTTTATTCATATATTTAGTAATGTACTATGTAAGCAATGTTGATTTCTCACCAATAAATTGTATATCCATATTTCCTTCTCAAGCAGTAAGAAGAACAGGATTATAATCGTTTATATTAACTTCATTTTCTCTTTGAGGAAGATCATACAGTCTACTTCTATGTTTTAATTATTTTCTCCCTGCTATCGAACTTACAACATCTCTTATGGTCAATGCTTCAGTGACAGAATGAGGAAATCCAAAATGACATCTCTCGAATAACTTTACGTCCTACCTTCTTAGACCGGAAACAACAGTTATTATGTTTGTGTGCCTGATGCGTATTGATGCATCTATACAGAGTGAAGAGAAAACCCCGGGACCCCTGAAAATTTCGAAAAACATACACTTTATAAAAAAATGTTTCAGACAAAAGTTGTAGCGTTGAAAAGGATCTATTTACCAATCTTAATAATTTGACCTTGGGTGGCGTCATCAAGGTGAGGACAAGGTCAGCTCGGATTTTTTAAATGGAGCTCCCAATTTTTTATTGCATATTCTTATAGCCCTTTTCAGACCTTTTCAAAGCACTATGGTTTTATCCAATTTGAATAAGCTGTTCCGAAGTTATCGAGTTTTTTAAAGTAAGATATCTAGCCAACTAAGACAAGATCGGAGGATGATTCGGCCAACTAAGGCAAGGTCGTAGGATGATCCGGTCAACTAAGGCAAGATCGGAGGATGATCCGGCCAACTAAGGCAAGGTCGGAGTGATCAAGTCAACTAAGACAAGATCGGAGGATGACCCAGCCAACTCGTAAAAATAATTGCGCGACTAACTTCCAGGCGTTGGCTCCTATTGGCTTGTCTTAATTTCGTTGATTGATTTATTTCAGTTATTTATTTATTTAAACTATTCTGCTGTTCGATGTTTATTTCTTCCATTTATTCATTTAATACTCATTACAGTTTAGTGAATCGCAAACTCGACTGAAATTCCTCTATTTTTTTGAAAATTATTAAGAAACAGTTTGAAGCTAGTTGTAAGAAGTAGTTGTAAAATAGAGGAATTTCAGTCGAGTTTGCGATTCACTAAACTGTAATGAGTATTAAATGAATAAATGGGAGAAATAAACATCGAACAGCAGAATAGTTTAAATAAATAAATAACTGAAATAAATCAATCAACGAAATTAAGACAAGCCAATAGGAGCTAACGCCTGAAAGTTAGTCGCGCAATTATTTTTACGAGTTGGCTGGATCATCCTCCGATCTTGTCTTAGTTGGCTCGATCACTCCGACCTTGTCTTAGTTGGCCGGATCATCCTCCGATCTTGCCTTAATTGGCCGGATCATCCTCCGATCTTGTCTTAGTTGGCTAGATATCTTACTTTAAAAAACTCGATAACTTCGGAACAGCTTATTCAAATTGGATAAAACTATAGTGCTTTGAAAAGGTTTGAAGAAGGGCTATAAGAATATGCAATAAAAAATTTGGAGTTACGTTTAAAAAATCCGAGCTGACCTTGTCCTCACCTTGATGACGCCACCCAAGGTCAAATTATTAAGATTGGTAAATAGATCCTTTTCAACGCTACAACTTTTGTCTGAAATATTTTTTTATAAAGTGTATGTTTTTCGAAATTTTCAGGGGTCCCGGGGTTTTCTCTTCACTCTGTATAGTAACGGAAAAATATTTTGATTCAGCAGTTTGCAGCTTATATGTTGTAAAATAAATTTTGAAATTTCTTCAATGGATAATTCTTCTATGATCGGTGCATTTTAATCCAAATTAGTAAATGGAAATGTTGTACACCTCTACCTTGATATTCTCGTCGCCAGAAATAATGAGCTACTTCTCCGATCGGGTGATTTTTTGAACATATAGAATCAAGCATCGCTTTGAACTTATTATCGAGAAACCTTGATGTTGACACAGGATCTTTAGCAACAAGCATATTAGTATTTAATGAAGAATCATGCCATGCATTCACTTGACGAATATATTCTCCTAAATCATCCCACAACCATTCACTTGGACTTAATGTTAAAAACCACGTCGCAGGTTCATAATGTTGAGTCATGCAATTTAAATCTTCTTCTCGGTCTTCGCCAATATTGTTTCGTATTTGTTAATGTGGAAAATAGTGTATTCAAATTGGACTCCAATAATTCTTTCGACGTTGCTTCTAAATATTCTGCAGCTGTATAACGAATACGTAAATTTGTTACATTCATCTTTTGATAAATTCCACGATTTAACTGGCGAATATTTGCATTGTTCAATAATTAAAATATATATTGTTGATTTAATCTGAACTGTGAATGTTTAGATATCAAACAGCATTTAATAAATTGATGATCATGAAGCTTGACTTGTCTGGTCTCATGTTGTCCGTTAATACCAAAAGGATATAAATCTGGGAAACACATTAAATCTAATAATTTTTCACGATTATCCAAGGGCAAATTATGAATTTTCAACATTTGAAACAAAACTGTTGCAGTTTTATTAATTTTTCTTTCATGTAATGTTAGGTTATATAAGGGATAAATAGTATATTGCTCATAATAATTATCATTCTCATCTATAATCTGTGTTAGCATTGCCCTATGTTCTTCTGCTATTTTAATGTCTGCATGATTTTCTGTTTCTTTTATTTCATTATTGAACGGTGAATCATGCTTATCATGAGGTTTCTACATCTATCTTTGCTTCTTGCAACTGCAATTCAAGATTGTTTAATGTGTTTAAACATAATTTTTCATGACTATTTGGCAAAATAATTTCAGAATATAAAGGATTATTTTCTTTCAACCATGTCAAGGCGTCCAATACTTTTTTAACGTTTACCATTTCTTCCCATATAATTTTTGATTTTGTAGGTATACCTCTGACTAAAATATATAGTTCATGATTTATGTTAATTGCATCAGTGGTGGAACATATTTTATTTAAAATTTTTTCAAGGAAGAGGTAAATGAAATGTTTAAGTTGATAAATCAGATGTCTCATGTTTCTCACTTTTAGAAAATGAGATGATAATAATTGAACTGGAAGAGACATTGCTTTACAAAGTGTTGGCTTAATATAACACCTATGAGTATGCCCTAATTTTTCATTAGAAATTCTTACAGTACAATTAAAAATAGCTTGTATTAGTTTTGGAACGTTCTTCAAAGTACATATACTTATTGCTTCAAGAAGTTTCTGATATGTACTAATAAGAAAAGAATCGTCAACTTTGCATAATTTACTGCATAACCATGACTTTTTCGCTTGTGCTGGTATCAATAGCAACACATTTGCAATTTGTCCTTCCATATTCATCATAAAAGCTTCTGATGAAAGAATGTTATGATGATATGTAGAATCGATAAAATAATTTTCAGACGAAGCTTTATACTCCACATAATGCATTTAATTCTTCGTCAATTGTAGTGCATTCTGCAACAACAGTCAAACATATTTCTAATTTCTTTTTAAGCACAGATAATATTTTATAAATATTACGAACATGAGCGTACCTAACAATCATACACCAGCG